TAATGAACTTGCATGAGCCATCACTGATCATGCAGATGCCCACTTTCTAAATTCCTGTCTTTAAATTATCTCCACATCCTGCTGAGTTATTAAGTCTGATGTTCCTGCCGTTACTGAGATATCTAATGAAGTATCTCTGTTTTTTGCAATAGTGGGAAAAGGAATTGCAGATCAGGCTTGAATTAGAAGAACAGCTGCGGCAGCTAGAGCTTAAGGAAAAACAAAAATTGGAAGAGGAACGCTTCAGGCGAATAATGAAATGGCGGTGGACAAAGCTGTGCAAGACAACAAAACCATATGAGCTTTCGTTGTGGCATGAAGATGAAGAGGAAGGCCTGACAGAGGCAAGCGGCAGCACGGAATTGCCAAGTGTGCAGGAGCCGTCACATACCTGGGAGCCAAGCCTCTAAGGAACAGATTCTGCATTACAAGTAAATGTGTGTATAAGATGAAAGTCGGTCTGTGGAGGTTTTGATTTTGAGCAGAGAAATGACTGGGGGAGGGAGGAGTTAGCCCTTTCCCTATTTAGCTGCATTTCTGTGGAGTTTCAGAGGTATATTTTTAAAGGTAAAGTCATGTCTAGAGCCCTGCTGGGGGTGGGGGAAGCAGCTCAATGGGGGAGTGATTTTGAAAGAAAGAAAAAACAGCCAGTGGAGAAAGGTTAAACACCCCTCACCCATAGCTCCTCCACTTGGAACTATTTATTTATTTAATCTGATTTGTATCCCGCCCTCCCTGCTGAAGCAGGCTCAGGGGGGCTTGCATCAAAAGGTTAAAATACATTAAAACACAGAAGTGTGAACTCAATACAGTGTCATAAAAACTCATAAACGTAAACAGATCACAAATACAGAAAAGTGCTGGTGAAGTGCTGGTGGCGGTAACATCCCACTAGGCCATAATAAAATGATAGAAAAGTGTGGCCACAGTCAGTATCCAATATATCACAGGCTGTTGGAGTTAATATAAAGGGCCTAGTTGTTATTAGTAGTGGCTTCTAATCGAAGGCCTGGTGGAAGAGCTGCATTTTACAGGCCCTGTGGAACTGTAAAAGGTCCTGCAGGGCCCTGATGTCTTCCGAGAGCTTGTTCCACCAGTGTGGAGCCGCTACTGAGAATGCCCTGGCCCTGATAGAGGCCAGTCTGGCGTATTTCAGTCCAGGGTGGCCCAGACAATTTTGAGACTCCAACCTCAGTGCTCTCTGAGGAACATGCGGGGAAAGTCAGTCCCTCAGGTAGGCAGGCCCCAGACCATGTAGGGCTTTAAAGGTCACAAAAAGCACCTTGAAGCGAATCCGGTATGCTATTGGCAGCCAGTGCAGTGCCTTTAGCACAGGCTGGATGTGCTCCCACATAGGGAGACCCATCAGCAGCCTGGCCACCGCATTTTGCAACATTGCAGTAGTCTAATCTCGAGGTGACCATTGTGTGGATCATTGTTGCTAGATCATTGCGTTTGGGGAAGGGAACCAACTGCTTGATCAGCCGAAGATGGTAAAAGGCCGCCTTGGCAGTGGCTGCTACCTGGGCCTCCATCATTAAGGAGGCATCCAGGAGCACACCCAGTCTCCTAACCCTCGCTGCTGGCACCAATGGCGCCCCATCAAAGGCCGGTAGTGGGATCCCCACCCCTGATGCACTCCGACTCAGGCACAGGACCTCCATCTTCATCGGATTCAATTTCAATCAGCTCAGACTAAGCCAACCAGCCATGCCCTGTAGTGCTCGGTCCAGATCTTCTGGGGTAGAGTTGGACTGACTGCCCAACAACAGATGTAGCTGGGTGTCAGCCGCATATTGGTGGCACCGTAGCCTGTTCCTCTGGGCAATTTGGCCAAGGGGGCACATGTAGATGTTAAATAACATGGGGGAGAGCACCACCCCTTGGGGCACCCTGTAGACCAGCGGGTGCCTTTGGGACAGCTGATCAACCTTTGTCCCCGACCTTGGAGAAAGGAGACGAGCCATTGCAAGGCAAGCCCCTGAATCCCAGTGTTGGCGAGGCAGTGGGTCAATAGCTGAAGGTCGACCATGTCAAATGCTGCCAACAGGTCCAACAACAACAGCACTGCCGCCCTGCCCCAATCCAAATGCCTCTGGAGGTCATCTGTGAGGGTGACCAGTGCCGTCTCCGTCCCATGGCCTAGGTGGAAGCCGGACTGGAAGGGGTCTAGCATGGAAGTGTCATCCATAAAGCCCTGTAATAGTAATGCCACCGCCCTCTCAATTAATTAGCCCAAATAGGGCAAATTGGAAACCGGCCGGTAGATTGCCAATTCAGCTGGATCCAGGGATTGGTTTTTTCAGGAGAGGGCAGACCATTGCTTCCTTGAGTGCCCCCAGGAACAGCCCCTCTGAGAGGGACTTGTTGATAATATCCCTGAGGGTACCTCAAAACCCCTCACAACCAGCTTTAATTAGCCATGAGGGGCATGGGTCAAGGCTGTACGTGGTTGGGCATACTGTCAAGAGCAATCTGTAATCCAAAATCAGACTAGAAGATGTGCATGGAGCCTCGAGTTCGCTCACTGTCTCAAGTGTGGCGGGGAGATCGCAGTGAAGTGACAAGATCTTATCTGCAAAATAGCTCGCAGAAGCCTCACAGCCAATGTCCAAATCCCTAGCGTTTGGTCTGCCCTGTGGCAAGACTGTCAAGGACCGAATAGTACTAAACAATTGGGCCAGGCGTGAGCTTACAGATGCAATCGTGGCCGCGTAGAACTCTCTCTTTGTGACTTTGACTGCCATCTCATAGGATTTCATAAGTGTCCTATAAGATGTTCTTGTAACTTTGTCGCGTATATACCGTCACTGTCTCTCTAGCCATCTTAGCCTCCGCTTCATCAGCTGCAGCTCCTGGGTATACCAGGGAGCTAGCCTGTTTCTTAAACCGGCATTTCATTTTCCCTGAGCTGACTTTCACAGCTTTGTGATGGAATATAAATAGGCACTGAGGTATATGCCTGGCATATTACAAAGCTGCTCCCCTGTGCAGAGATCCACTCCAGCCACATTGTTGTCCCATCAGTTTGTCCCTGTGAATTGATCCAAACAGGCCATTTGTATGCAGTATTCAAAATTCTTCAGGATGTGATCCATTTAAGCTGTGGCATCTGCTAGCAGCAGTTGTTACATCTTTTTGCATGAGTGTGGTAAGTCTTCCTTCTAACAATTGTCTCATAGATGTCCTTCATGTGTGCTTCCAAGGCAGTTACCATGAGGTGCCTACACCTCTATGTCACACCAGTGTAACATGTGATACTCCTGGCAAGGATGATGACCAGTGGCATCCAGTGGGAGTTGTGAAATAGGTGGTGGCCAGGTGACTCCAAGTTTTCAGATGTGTTATGATGTGAATGAAATGGGTGTGGGTCACATGACCACAGAAACATCTTTGGACAGCGCTGGCTCCAGTGTTCCCTCTAAGCTGAGTTAGTGTGAGCTAGCTCACAATTTTTTAGCCTCCAGCTCACACATTTTCATCTTAGCTCAGGAAGAATGGCTCCAGAACAAACTAATTTATGCAGTAGCCAAATCACTCGCTCACAACTTTAATGCCAGTAGCTCACAAAGTAGAATTTTTGCTCACAAGACTCCACAGCTTAGAGGGAACACTGGCTGGCTCTTTGGCTTGGAAACGAAGATGAGCACCGCATTCTAGAGTTAGATTTGACTGACTTTTTATTTATTTATTTATTTATTTGATTTGATTTTTATCCCGCCCTCCCACCGAAGCGGCTCAGGGCGGCTTACAACAATAAAAACAATAAAACAACACGTCTAAAACAGTCTATACAAAACATTAAAATCACAAACCTTTTGAGCAAGAGAAACCTTTACTTTTACTTTTTAGAGCAGTGTTAAACTGTCCCCATTCATTTCCTGGTAGATAAGTCCCTGGAGGTGTTGTGGGATTATTAGTAAACCTTGTGATCACTTGTATATGGGGTATAGCAGGAGTGCATCTGGTCCCTCAGCCTTTTTAAATACATGATGTTACTGTGGGAGATCATTCAGAGATTTGAAATGTGGTGTTATCAGTATGTTGGTGGTTCACAACTTTGGTTTTTCCCAGCAAAATCCAGGGAGATAGTAGAAGTGCTGAATCAGTGCTTGGAGTCCACAAAGATCTGGTTGAGGGAAAATAAGTTGAAATTAATTCAGACAGGAGCTTTGGGTGGGGAATAAAATTGATCCCAAAGTGAGTGTTTCACTGGTTCTTGATGGGGGCTTACTCCCCCCAATTTATTAATGTCCTAAAGAGATAACGGCAACCTTACTTCCATCATCATCTTCTTTTCAGTCAAGGCTGCATACAGAGCTGACTTTCTTCCTGAACAGTCCTACTCTAGCACTTGTATAACTCTTCCATATGGAAAAGCATGCCCTGAGGGAATTCAATAATTCACTGATCCTTTCCCTCCTTTCCTTCCATCTGAAGTCTAGAAGGACTGGATTCTAACCTGGTGTGCATGGTAAGCATTTACCCCAAAGGTTTTGCATATGTCAGGAAACCATACTAACCTTGCTGAGCTTCTTACTTAATTGATCTGCCCAACAATTTTTAAAATGTTGATGAAGACCACCAGACTTCAGAGTTTTTGGGGTTGTTTTTTGTTTGTTTAGACTTTTATTCCGCCCTCCCCACAAGTGGGCTCAGGGGGGATCACAACAACAATATACAATAATCCAATAGCTAAAACACAATAATTCAGTAGTTATGCTAAATAGTGGGTTCCATGGATGGATGAGCAGGCTCGAGTCGAGTGATCAGCTCAACTTTATTTGTGATTTCAGCAAGAGCAAGACAAGACCCCAGAGCCACTGCTCTGTTAAATAGCATGCATCTGTGGCGCTTGGTGGTTGGAGGCGAGGAGACTGAGAAGGGGCTTGTGATCGGTTGCAGTAAGGGGCGGCCATACAGGTAATCGTGGAACTTTTTCACTCCCGCCACGATTGCAAGGGCCTCTTTGTCGATCATCTGGGATTAGTTCCGCTTAGCTGACGACAGGGTCCTGGAGTAATAGGCCACCGGTACCTCTCTCCCGTCTGGCAGCCGATGGCCCAGGACTGCACCAGCGCCATTGGGAGAAGCGTCGTATGCTAAGACAACTGGCAGTGTCTTGTTGAAGTGGGCAAGGATGTCGTTAGAGGTGAGTAGCTCCTTCATGGCCCGGAAAGTGGCAGCCTTTCGCCAGCCCCACACCCACGGGGCCTTCTTGTCGAGTAGGCAGTGGAGTGGCTCCATGAGTGCAGCTTTATGAGACAGAAAGCAGTAGTAAAAGTTCAGAATGCCCAAGAAAGCCTGCAGCTCGGTCTTGGATGTGAAAGCAGGTGTATTCGTGATGGCACGAACCTTGTCAGGGGCCAGATGGATGTCGTCAGCATCCACGAGGAACCCCAGGAATTCT